CCTTACGCTTGGTAGCCGCATTCCAAAACCGAGGCGCCGGGTTCGTACTCATCCGTGCCCTCGAAGTTAGAGGTGTCCGTATTGATGAAGTCAGCGAGCGAAGCCTTTGCCATCGATCAAGTCTTTAAGCGACACTTTAGCTGCGGCAGTCAGCTCTTGCGGAACTTGGCCCTGGAGCTCGTGGACGACCTGCAAGTACTCCTGATCCACTTGCTTATGCAAACCCGGAGCTCGGCGACGTTGAGCTTCCACCTCCTGGTGCCGCTTATTCAGCTTGGTCAAACTCGATATCGAAAGCCTTCCCCTTCTTGCGCACCGCAGCGCGCGCCTGCTGGCATGTCTACTGGGTGGCCATAGCCAGTGGACCCGCCTCTGAATGAGCGAGAGATGGCGCCATCTGCTTGTACCGAGAAGCTGCGGCCACGTCCCCCGGCTTCGCTGGGAGATGACCCAGTTGAAAAAACTTCAGCCGCCAACTTGGGAACACGACCTGGCGGGAGCGGAGGGGCGCCCGCAGAGTCGCCGCCCGCATCTGCAGCACCACCATCCACAAGAGCCAGCGACTCGTCACAGACAAAGCTCTTGTTCCTGCCTTTGCCGTTGCCCTCCTTGCTGAAACGGGGCGCGCCCTCCTCCAGCAGCGACAGTGCCCATCAACCTCCAGGAGGTCGTGGCACCCATGAGGTCACTGCAAGCAACACACCCTTGTGCAATTCTTGCACCACCCGTAGTGCTTGAGGTTTTTCTTGCACCCGCAATGCGGACAAGGGGACTCCCCCCATCCGTCTGCACAAGTCTCTTCACCGACGGACTCCTCACCACGCCACGTCCATGGCCGGTACACCCAGCCGCCACGAGAAGCAGAATTGGAAGTCATCGGGTGAAACCTCAGTGAGCGCCCGCTGAGGAAGAAATCGTGAAAGAGACGAGTGGGGAGAACGCCAATGCATATCGGACGTGCGACTGCTGAGAACAGTAGGCGCTGCGGATCCTCCGTGCAAAAACTAAACTCTCATCCTGAACAAACGTTACGGACTTGAGCCAAGATAACTACGGACTTCGTTCACATTCCACCTCCCCATCTTCCTCCTCCTCCTCCTCCTCCTCCTCCTCCTCCTCCTCCTCCTCCTCCCTGGCTCCTCCTCCTCCTCCTCCTCCTCCTCCTCCTAGTCGTCCTCGTCCTACTCCTCCTGGTCCTCCTCCTCCCAAGAATCCTTTCCCTCTTCCTTCTGCTCCTCCTCATGTTCATCATCATCATCATCATCATCATCATCATCATCATCATCATCATCATCATCATCATCATCAGCATCATCATCATCATCATCATCATCATCATCATCACCATCATCATCATCATCATCATCATCATCATCATCATCATCATCATCATCATCATCATCATCATCATCATCATCATCATCATCATCATCATCAACATCAACATCATCATCATCATCATCATCATCATCCTCATCATCATCATCATCATCATCATCATCATCATCATCATCATCATCATCATAATCATCGTCATCATCATCATCATCACAAACATCACCATCATCAGCATCATCAGCATCATCAGTATCATCATCATACGCATTACCATCATCAGCAGCATCATAATCGCCACCATCAGCAGCAGCATTATCATCATGATCATCGTCATCATCACCATAATCATAATCATAATCATCATCATCATCATCATCATCATCATCATCATCATCATTATCATCATCATCATCATCCCTCGGCATAGTCGTCGTCATCATCATTCTCAGCATCACCATTGGTATCATCATCATCCTCATCATCATCATCACAGCAAGCAGCAGCACCACCACCACCACCATCATCATCATCATCATCATCACCATCACCATCATCATCATCATCATCATCATCATCATCATCATCATAGCCATCATCATCATACGCATTACCATCATCAGCAGCAGAAGCAACGCCATCATCACCATCGTCCTGACGTTCATCATCATCATCATCATCATCATCATCATCATCAGCATCGTCAGCATCATCAGCATCATCATCAGCATCATGGCCAGCATCATCAGCAGCAACATCATTATCAGCATCATCATCGTCATCAGCAGCATCATCATCGTCGTCATCATCATCAGCAACATCATCATCAGCATCATCAGCATTACCATCATCATCGTCATCATCATCATGGTCGTCATCATCACCAATATCCTCGTCATCATCATATGCATCATTATCACAGCAAGCACCACCACCACCATCATCACCAGCATCATCATAAGCATCACCATCATCAACAACAGAAGTATCGCCATCATCACCATCATCCACATAATCATCATCATCGTCATCATCATCAGCAGCATCTTGGTCAGCATCATCAGCAGCACCAGCATCATAATCAGCATCATCGTCATCATCAGCATCATGATCATCGTCATCAGCAGCATCATCATCATCGTCCTCAGCATCTTCATCTTCATCGTCGTCGTCATCATCATCACCAGCATCATCCTCATGATCATCATGATCATCATCATCATCATCATCATCATCATCATCATCATAATCATAATCAGCATCATCATAAGCAGAACATCATGAGCAGCAGAAGCGTCGACATCATCACCCATGTTCATCATCATCAGCATCACCGCCATCGGCGTCAGCATCCTCATAATTATCATCAGCATCGTCATCATCACCAGCATCATCCTCATGATCATCATCAGCATCCTCGTCCTCGTCGTCATCGTCATCGTCATATCACCAGCATCATCCTCGTGATTATCATCATCACAATCATCAGCATCATCATAAGCAGTACCATCAACAGCAGCAGAAGCGTCGCCATCATCACTATCGTCCTCATGTTCACCATTATCAGCATCAGCTTTATCATCATTATCATAAGCATCGTCATCATCACCAGCATCATCGTCATCATCAGCATCCTCGTCGTCGTCATCAGCATCCTCGTCATCATCACAATCGTCGTCGTTATGGTCATCATCATCGTCATCATCAGCCTCATCATCAGCAGCATCACCATCACCACCACCACCACCACCACTGCCATCGTCATCGCCATCATCATCACCACTAGCACCATCACCACGACCACCATCAGCATCATCATCATCGTTGTCATTATCAGCATCATCATCATAATCATCAACCCTATCCTCATCAGCAGCATCAGCAGCATTATCATCAGCATCACCATCATCATCAGCAGCATCATCAGCATCATCATCGTCGGCACCATCAGCAGCATCAACGTCACCATCATCAGACACATCCTCGTCGTCGTCATCAGCATCGTCATCATCATCGTCGTCATCATCGGCATCATCATCACCAGCATCATCATCAGCAGCATCATCATCACTAGCACCATTCTTATCACTATCAGCAGCAGTAACAGCTGCAGCACCATCACCACCATCATCACCATCATCGTCATCACCATCATCATGATCACCACCATCATCACCATCACCATCATCATTATCAACATCATAATCACAATCGTCCTCATCATCATCGTCATCATCCTGATCCTCATCACCACCAGCACCACCATCACCACCATACTCATTATCACTCTCAGCATCATCAACATCAGCGTCGTCCTCATCATCATCATCATCATCATCATCATCATCATCATCATCATCATCATCGTCATCATCATCCTCATCCTCATCACGACCAGCACCACCGCCACCACCACCATCATCATCATCATCATCATCAGCATCATCATCATCAGCATCATCAGCATCATCATCATCATCGTCATCGTTGTCATCATCGTTGTCATCATCGGCATCATCATAATCAGCATCCTCATCACCATCATCATCATCATCATCATCAACAACATTTTCATCATCATCATTAGCATAATCAGCATCGTCACCATCGCCAGCATCATCGTTATCATCATCAGCAACATCCTCGTCGTCGTCATCAGCATCATCGTCATCAGCATCGTCGTCATCATCATCATCATTATCACAAGCATCATCATCATTATCAAGAGCAGAAGCACCATCATCACCATCATCAGCATCACCACCATCATCACCATCACCATCACCATCGTCCTCATCATCATCATCATGATTCTCATCACCAGCACCACCACCACCACCATCATCATCGTTGTCATAATCAGCTTCATCATCATCATAATCAGCATCCTCGTCGCCATCATCATCATCATCATCATCATCATCATCATCATCATCATCATCATCATCATCATCATCATCAACATAATCAGCATCATGCCACCGTCACCGTCATCATCACCAGCAGCATCATCAACATCGTCCTCATTTCCTCTCCTTCTCCTCCTCCTCCCTGATCATATGACTCCTCATCATTTTCATCGTCCCAGTCTCCAATCCACATCCTGCTCCTCGAGATCAACACCCTCAGTCGCCTACTGTTCCTCCTCCTCCTCCTCCTCCTCTGAAACCGCTTATGCACCTCCTCAGCATCAGTCCTCTTCACCCCTGCTCCACCACGCTCTCTCCTTATGCTCCACGTCCCTCCTCAGACATAGCTGCGACTGCAAGACTTACTGGCGCCACTACAGAAACAAAAAGGCTAAGGACAACAATGCCACGATCGAAAAACTACGATCCCAGACTCGATGCACGCGGTCACCTTTCGATCCCAGCGTCAGCTTGGATCCCACTACCCGGCATCATTCAGCTCGCCGCTGAGCCAAGCGCACGGATACCCAGGCTGTTCCAGGGAACCGAACCTCGTCCTGAGAGGATCACGGCCCCTGCCCGGCAGCTAAATCCCCACAATCCCAAGACAATCGAAGGATATCGGCGAGGCGCGGTGTCTATTGCCCACTCAAATTCCATAGGGCTCCACCCATCTTTGAACTCATGTTCCCCAGCAGCGCGAAAAGCATGTCACAACACATGTGCCAGGGCTCATCCGCAGTCTGAGCCCCGCTCCTTCGCCACCTCGACCCTCTCAGGGTTCTTGTCCGGGTGCCAGGCGCGCAACAACTTTCGGAACGCCTTCGCCTTCTCCTGGAGAGGAGGCAGCAGCCGCGTGGCCCTGTCTCGATTCCTCTCTCCGGCCCCCTCTGTGCCTATCCCCTGATAGAGCCTGGCCCTGGGGTATCTCGGGATGGGGAGGTGGTCGCCCTTCATCCCGGCCCCCCCCTCGTCTTGTCATCGCTGGTGTTGGCAAGGACTCGCCGGACCTTTTGCGAGATCCTCAGACGTCTGACACTGGTTCCCTTCCCCGAGGGCTCCCCGCAGCCACCAAGCGAACAGCGTCGGGCGCCCGCGCAATCCCTGAGGGTGGCACGGGATCCACCCGGAGGCGTTGCAAATGTACCGCGGAAAGGGGGGAGGCACTTCGCAGCCTGTGGGTCGCTAGAGGAAATCGCACAGTGGGCCCAAAAGGACCCTGTGCTGCCCACGGACGGTCCTCCAGCAGCCAGAGGACTGCATCAGTCATTTCATCCGTCCGCTCATTGCTCGTGCCTGTCTTCTTTCGTTCCCTCCTTGTCCTGCGCCCTCCCGCCTGCCCTCCTCATATACACATAACCGAGGTCTGTGCCAGGGGGGGCCCGGGGCCACGACCTCTGCAAAAAATGTGGGTGCTGGGGGCCGGGCTAGCATTTAGGCCCACCCCCAGGTCTCGAGGGGTCTCAGACGGCCCCAGAGAGCCTCCAGATCTCTCGAGGGACGCTCAAGACAGCCCCAGACTGCCCCCCCATACCCCAAGACGCCTCCGAGAGGACAAAAACCGTCAAACACCTACGAGAAATTAACAAGTGACACGCGTGCCATGGCTCTTGCACAACAGGGAGGGGGAAGGAGGAGGAGGTGGAGGAAGAGGAGGAGGAGGAGGAGGAGGAGGAGGAGGGGGGGAGAGAAGAAATTGGAGGGCCCTCCTCCTCCTCCCTCCTCCTCCTCCTCCTCCCTCCTCCTCCTCCTCTCCTCCTCCTCCTCCTCCTCCCTCTCCTCCTCCTCCTCCTCCCTCCCTCCTCCTCCTCCCTCCTCCTCCTCCTCCTCCTCCTCCTCCTCCTCCTCCTCCTCCTCCTCCTCCTCCTCCTCCTCTCCTCCTCCTCCTCCTCGCCTCCTCCTCTCCCTCTTCCTCCTCCTCCTCCTCCTCCTCTCCTCCTCCTCCTCCTCCTCTCTCCCTCCCTCCCCCTCCTCCTGCCTCCACCCTCTCCCCTCCCCTTCCGCACCTGACTACAATGCATCGCCGAAGTGTCGGCGTCTGCGAGGAGCTGGGGATGGGGGCGGAGTGGGGCGGGCGCGGCACCAGTGCCGTGGCGAAATCCCACCAGCCCTCTGGGAGCAGTTTCCTTTCCTCTTGCAAAGCCCTTCTTTCCTTCGGGGCGGGGTACCCTCACTCTCTTCTCCCTGTTTCTTGATCGAGAACGGGGGCGCCGAGCGGTCAGAGCGCCCAAGATTGCCCAGGATGGCTCCAAGAGAGCCTCCGATGCTTCGAGATGGCCTCCAAATGGCTCAAGATACAATAGCATACGTTGGCAGACAAGATGGCCCAATATAGCTCGAAATCTATCTCCGAGATGGCCTCCAAAATGTCTGGAGATCGCTCCAAACGGTTCGCGTGGTCCCCGTGACGGTGGGGGCGGTGCGACGGCAAACAAAAAAGGCCGGGGCGAAGAGGGGCACGCTGGGTGGAAGGGTGAGCAGAGGAGCTGGTGGGTGTGAGTGGGTGTGTGTGTGGGGGGGGGGGGGGGGGGGAGCGGGGGGGGGGGCGGGGCGGTGGGGGCGGTGCGACGTCGAAATAAAGCTGTCGGGGCGGAGGGGGGCACGCTGGGGGAAGGGTGGGCAGAGGAGGAGGAGGAGGAGGAGGAGGAGGAGGGAGGAGGAGGAGGAGGAGGTGTTGGAAGTCAATAAGTCAATCACATGTGCCCATCTCCCGTCTCACCTCGCTCTCTCTGCCTGCACCGCGCTTGGGTCAAGCTGGTCCCATGAAAAACACATTGCTGTCTTACATGGCAGCGGAGCTGTGGTTTCGAAAATCGTAGGTTTCAGATCCACGGGAACCCGAGGAACAGTTCGAGAAAAAGTCCCGGACGGAAGACATGGCCCAAAGGGTCATCGACACGAAACTTCTCGGAAAGAACGTCAGAGAATGTTCGGGAAGAGATGCTGATTGGCCGGATTGATCGTTTCAGTTTGAAAATTATGCAGGTGCAGTGAGCAGCGATCTGTTGGAACACATGGAGCGCGCAAGAATGAGACAGGAGGAGATAACACTTGTAACGATGGACGCGCCTGTAAAACAGCATGCAGCAAATCTTGCTTACATTTTGGTAGGCCTCGTGAAGGGAGAAATGGCTAAGGTGTTTCGCAAGCTTGAGAAAATAAACGGTTTCGAGATGTGGCGGAAAACATGCGCCCGATATGACCCGAAAGACACCAACACGCGACGAGGACTCATGACAGCAATATTGAGCTATGATTTCTCCACCGATCGCTTGAACTGTTTGCCAGAGAAGCTGGCTGAGTTCGAGGCTCTTGTGCAGCAATACGATGATCTCGCGAATCCAGAAGAATGTTCCGATGACGTGAAAATCACAGCAGTCATCTCAACGATTCCCGAACCAATGAAAGGACATTTTGAATTGAACACGGAGCTGTATGAGACCTATGAGGATCTCAAACAGAAGATTCTAGCGTATGTCCAGGGAAAGCGAGACTGGAAAAACCCTTTCGCCAAATCCAGAAGCGATTCCAGGACCAAGCCCATGGAGGTCGATCCATTTACGTCTGGGTGGAAAGGAGGAAAGACAGGAAAGACAGGAGGAGGAAAAGGAAATGATGCAAGAGGAAAGACAGGAAAGTTTGGTGGTAAAGCGAAGGATCAAGGAGGGGAGTACGGAGGCAAGAGTTATGGAGGTAAGGCCGGGTCTGGGAAAGGATCAGGAGACCCCCAGCAAGGACAGGCAAGCTCCTCTTGGGGGCGTCCCGGACAATGGTCTCAAAACAATTGGCAAGGATCTGGCAAATTTTCCGGAAAGACTGCTGGTGGCAAAGCTCAGCCACACAAGTGGTGCGACATTTGCAGGATGAGGACTCATTGGACATCAGAATGTAGGTTTAACACTAAGAATAAAGCAAACAATAAAGGTGACAGGTCAGCAGAGGTTGCGCCCCAATCCCTTTCGAATGACCAATGGGGTTCGGAGAACCCGTCTTGGAATGAGGGGCAACAATATCCGCCGGAAGAGTTTGCTGCAGTGTCCCGCGTGTGAAGACGATCAGGGAGAGCAGTCAGGAGAGAGTTTTCTTGAACTTGAGTTTGGTAGTGTACGTATGCATGCATGCATGGATGTTGGGACGCAGACGGAAAACTGGTCTTCTAAGGGACGCTTCGGGGAAACACAATGGTTTCGTTTGTGTTCGGACGAAAACCCCAGCACGGAGCAGGAAGACCAAAGGGGAACCAGCAGTACGGAATACGAGCCTGTGGGTAAGTGTGTACACACGCGCATGGTGAACACATCCCAGATTTTGCGCGCGCGTGCAGGCACACCGCACAATAAACACAAACAGCACGCAGACATGAACACCCCATCGGGGGAAACCTTTTTGATATCAACGGGTTGGAATATGATGTGTCTGCAGGTGTTCTCGATTTTCATGTTGGGGTTCGTCGCTGCAAGCAATGCGGTTTCACCATGTGTGTTTCCAGATGTGTGCCCTAGCAATCGCCAATGTTTCATGTCAGCTCTTGAGCCGCCCGGCAATTCAGAAGAAACCGGGGCTTTACATTCAACAGCACATCGCAACGCAACACATTAATCTTTATTGTTGTTGGATACTGGCACTTTTGACCACGTGTGCGGACCAGCCTTCGCCCCTCACATAGAAATGATTCCTGCATCAGGGATCGACGGAATAACCGCGAGTGGTTATGAAATGAAGAGGCTGGAATGTAAAGATGTCCCATTGCAGCTGATCGGATCGAATGTGATTCGGGGTGTTTCGGAATGTTTCTACGACATTGATTAGTGTAAGTCGCCTAGCTAAGCAAAATAACATGTCTTTCACGTTTGGGAATGCCCAAGTTGTGGCTAATTCCCCTAACTGTTCTGGTGTCTTTGTTGTGAAAGAGCATAATTTATTGTATCGTGCCAAAGCTAAGTTTGTCGATCCAAATCTCGTTCCCGAGAGCATGAAGAATGTGATCTCGTCTGTTGCGTTCCAGAGGCCTTTGGAGGACCCTCCAGCAGATTTGTTAGCAAAGCTTCCAAGAGAGTTGCCGCGCGATGGAAACGAGATGTGGTTCCTGACGAACGAAGGAGAACCATTCGTACTGCACCCCCGGACTAATGTGATGCACATTCCGGTTGGGAGGCTTCCGGGGGGGTTGAATAAAGAAACGGCCGCTGAACAGTTTCCTACTCGTATCGTGTGGGTCAAATGGAACACATCGCCGTGGCAACTCCTTGAGAACAGAACCGATTGGACAGCTCTCCAAGACCCAGAAGAAAACCTAGGCGCAGATGGCACTCTCCTCACAGCGTTCACCACGAAAAGTCACACACGCGGCAAGTCCGACGACAAGGAAACCACGGATGCCAGGTAATTGCCAACAAAGAGCGAGGAAACCCATACTCCGGTAGCCCCGAAGATCCCCAAGGACCTAGTAAACAAGAAAGGGACGTGCATAATCTTACTCACATGCCGTTTCGCGATTGGTGTGATTTTTGCGTCAAAAAAAAAAACGAATGAATCTCCCTACAAGCACGGGGAAGATTCCCCGTACCCGGTAGTGCAGTTAGATTGTTTCTTTGTGAAGAGCGCCGAAGATGACAATCTAATCACATGCATCTCCACCATAATTGTTGCGCCAGGTTTTGGGGCATGCACTCAACTGAAAAACAAAGGGTCTTCAGATACGCACGCGATAGATTTGATTGTGAAAAATTTGGAGCACGCAGGTTTTACGAGCACAGTTGCTGTTCAGGCAGATGACAAAACTTCCATCAAAGATGCTGCGCGCGTTGTAGCAAGCAAGCGCAGAAGTAACACGC